TATCAAAACACTAACTGTTGTAAATTGTTATTATGCAGCTTTACATATTTAAATAATACATTATTGTCCCTGTTACTGGCCACCGAATACTATATGTACATATATAATTTTTTTTTTTTATTCCGAATGGAGTAATTTAAAACTACAATTTGTGTTAAATACAAAGAAAAAAAAACAGAAAATCATCATACTTTTTTTTCGTATTATACTTACGCAGCATTATATAATATAATAGTACACTTGTATGTATTATGGGCAGTCGGTGATAACCCATTTGCTTACTAGTGAAACCGTGGAGTTAAAAACTATATAATATTATGATAAGTACTAGCCATAAAGAAGAAGCTATATATACCTAATGACCGATGGGAAACGAAAAGCGAGAGCGAACAGGGTCGTTGTGATTCCATGAGAACATAATCTAACATAGTTTTCTCCAAGTTCACCGTTTTAAACGGACTGTTAGCCAATGCGGCGCTGTTATCGTTATAATAAATTACTATAAAATATAATAATATAATAACGGTTTCGCTTTTATTGCAGTAATAATAATTGTGATCGTTATTGCTATTAATATAATTACAATACAACTAACTACAAAAAAAAAAAAATTAGTTTAGCACAAACTATACAAGCGCATGCGGATAAAAATGTATTAATTTTGTTTTTGATTTATTGACTCGCTTTTTTTTATGAACTAAAACATTTAAAAATATGTGTTTAATGAGAATTTGTCGAGTTGAAGATATTTCCTACGAGCTAACACGTTGTCCAGTACACAAACTTTTGTATATTCAAGCGAAAATATTTTTATTGATTTTACTAATAGTTTTTATGCTTTGGAATTTATTCGAGTTCAATTGTTTATCCGACAACATTGATTTTTACAACTCAGGTAGGTCTTACTCAATACCAATCGAACGTATACGGTATTCCATCTGATGGTTGTTAATTAATTTGGCCAACCTATTATAAAACATACTTATTGTTATACGCAGCGGCTGGCGAAGACTTGACAAAAAAAAAAAAAAATTGTATTTTCTAATTGAACGTAATGAGACAACGACCAAAAAAAGTATTCAATTATTCTTCTCGATTATACAACACGATTCTTCGACGATTGAATGCGGTAGTGTTTATAGTATGCATTTTCTACTGTTGGTTTGTCACACCGACACAACAAATAACCTACAGATACCCAAAACCGAACCTCGGGCAGAGCGACGAGAAATGTGCAACAGTAGCTGCTAAATAACAGTATTATAATAGCTAGACGGTGGCGATCAATAACACTTTGGCTACAGCTGTTAACGACATAATGAGACCGCGTGGCTGATCAATACCCTTGATGACTTTGCCGGCACTCCGGGCCCTATAGTGTTTTTTTTTTTGTTATTTATTTATTCTTTTAATTTTGTTCGCGGGTAGGTACGTGGTATAATAATAATAATAATATTATTATTAATATACGGTATTGTATAAAACGCCGCCGCGGCACGTACAATGGACCAAGTTAAACCGCTGAGTAATCGACAAACTTGAGGAGGTCAATCGGCTATAATGTGTTCTTTACAATGTTAAAAGACGTTATAATTCTACTGCGGTTTGCTCTGGGGCACCATTACTGCCGCTGTTTTCGCTAAAAACATTGCGGTTTTTTTTCGCCAACTCCCGCGGTCGAAGTAGATACAAAAGTACATTAGTACATGTGATCCTATTATTGTAAAAATATGGATTTATATGTATGTGTTCCGACTGCCATCTTTTGCAAATGCATTTAAACAGGTCTGTTTTATGCGACACGGTTCAGAACAAAATGTTGATAAGTGTCAGTCCGTGTCTTCTAGCGGAGCTATTTCTAGAACTAATTTCCGGTATAGTATTCACAGAGTTGGCTTGACAAAAATGTCTCGGGTATAATTTATACGAGCATTAGGGTGGTTCTTATTTGCACGATTTCCGAATTTCAATTGTGCCGCTCCACCATTCGATTAGAAAAAAAAACCAAATAAGAAATTTGGAACTAATATTTTTTATTACAAGTTTTTATTGTTTTTGAAAAAGTTATAGGGCATCGTCATTTTAAGTTGAAAAATATTGCATTTTTTTTTGGGGGTATTTTTCTCGATTTTATTAATTTTTGGCCCAATTAAGTACCTTTCTGGTACGATGTCCGATGTACAGAGTTGCTACACGAAGAAATCGGCTTAGTGGCTTAGAAGACGATATCGGGAAGGGGGTTCAGAAACATAAAGAAGATATCCACTCGCTTCGAAGGTAATAATATGATTTGTATGTTTTTCATTTAGCCACAGCTGCAGCTGTTGTTCTCGTGCACTTTCTACAGGTTAATGTAGGCAGAGATGTGAATTTTCTCAGACGACGCGACAAAAACCATTGTATGGCGCCACGTTCGGAAACGTCCGCAGAGAGGAACCGATTTTGTTTCCGCCCGACATCATAGCCAAGACGTTGCGTCACGTCGACGGTCTGTATTTGTAATTGTTTTAATTTCGTTTTGTTCTGTTTTACTACATTATGCGCACGCGAAGGTTGTGCGGGTTTCAACGCGATCGTTATCGTAAGTAAAAAAAACCAAACCCAAATTTGCAATAAAAAAAGATACCTGAAAGAAATTGTTGCTCCTTTAGGTAGCGAGGCAGGGGAACTCGCTGAATTCTGAAATATAACGCAAAAACTGCCACTGCGACTATAGCCACCTACGATTTCTTGTATCCAGCCCAATAACATGTCCGTGTTAATTATTTTTTCAACTTTTTACTCGTCGTGTGCGATTTTGTGATCGACAAGATATGCCACTCGAGTCATTCGATTTCGCTTAAACATTTCCTTTGTTTTTGGCCGAGCGAGTTATTGGCACAGATATGTAAATACAACAAACTAAATTGCTAAGTGTACATGCCGTCAATAAAGATAATTGAAGTTGCCATTTTTCGCCATCTCTGTGAGAATTAAATCCTTGTCACGTGAAAATATGTTTATAACAATTATAAGTCGATAGCACAGAATAACATTAAATACATCATGTATTATTTTATACACACATAAATCGCACAAAAACGGCGGACGTCGACTTCGGTTTGTTATCACTAGTTAGCAATCTAGTTAATTATATGTATATATGTGTGGCTGGCTGTCTGTTTTCCATACAGTCTGTGATAGTGGTGGTATCCCGGTAATTGTTGCACAACAATAATAACAGAACCAGTATCGCGGCAATTACACATTTTATGATTATGAGGTATTATTATTGTTGTTGTTGTGTTGTAAACGAGCAATGAGCATGATGCGACTTTGTCGAAGCTAATGACCGGCTTCTTTTTTTTCTAAACGGTCAGGTGTTATAATATAATAATAATAATGATAGTTGTGACCGAAAAAAAAATATATATAAATTATAAACATTACGACCGCCGATAAAAACCGGTAACTAGTAGGTAGGTATATACAGAGTGTTACGCAACAGCGACTGGGTCATTTCAAGTCGGTAGTCGGTGCACGTGCGCGCAATGTCTGCACTAATAAGGTCGATTCCTGCAAGTCTTATGCCGCGCTTAGGTCATCGCTTGTACACTACCTGTACACGCAGCGTACAGGGTGATTCACTAACCACGAACCGAGTCAATACCTCAAAATTCTGAATTTCGCACTTTAATTTTCAAAATCGCCGAGTACCAACACTCAACCAGTTAGCAAATTCTCTATACTCAAATTTCCATTTAAATCCGAGTTCCCACTCTAATCCTCTAATAAAGAAACTCTCCTCGATCTCCCTTCCTGAAAACGCTCCCAGAAGACTTGAAATAAGATGGCCCAGAGACCTTCTAAAATAACTTCCTATTCAATTAATCAAATCAAATTAATAAATTCCTAGCTGGGTGATACTGCCGAGTGTCTTCCTTTAACGATAATTGTTTAATGACATGTATATAACGTTTACCGCATCTACTTATTGTACTCACTGTATAGATTGTAAATATATTTTCTGATAATAAAACAATATTTTTAACTATTTCGTACTAAATTTCAAGTATAAATTATTAAAAAATAGCAATTCGCAGGCCTGTAAAACATAGAAAATGTTTTGCGGCTAGTAACTATCAAATATCAATCACAATTTAAATCACTTGAATCACTCAACTTACACCTTTCATCACATTCATTTGGTTTTTGACTTAAAATAAATTGTGGGTTATTCTTTTGACCAATGTCAATCATAATTTTTATATTATGGGTGAAGTCAAATTATGCTTTTTTTTAGGCAATTTGAGTGCACACATATACATTTTTTTGGCAATGTTATATGTCCAAGTATTTAAACATCGAATGGATGTACAAGAGAAGCCCATACCGGGCAGAATTAAATTTTTGACGAACAATACCGTTTTGTATGATAATAATAATTATTTGTCGTCTCTTCGTATCGTTTGTCATTACGAAATCACAGGATATGTTTGAGTAAAACGCTTAAAAAAATTATGTAATAATATGTCGAGAAAAAAAAAGAAATTTAATTATTATATTACAGTCGCTGCCCGTTGGACGAACGAGACGGTATAGCTATCACCGTCGGATTTAGATAGTGTGATAAAATGTAATACGGATTTTCCATGTTATATTATTATTGCGCCATTGATTTTATACAGTCCAATATAATGTGAAAACGTTGTCATCAAATGTGTTTTCTCGACCAGTGGCAGAATACTAAGAATCAAGCAATTAGCTTAAGAATTTAGCAGTAACTAATACCACAAAGTCACAAAAAAAAAAGTCACTAAGGCTTAGTACGTTAGGTTGTACGTTACTTTGTACGTTTACCTTTTTGCCATTTCGCAATGTAATTTCTCATGTCGATAAAGTAATGAAAAAAGTCTCTAATGCATTTCGATAGATTTTTTGACCCTGGGTCTTTTACTTCAAATACTTTTTAAGTTGTTTTTATTTCAAATTAATAAAACTATTAGTTTATAAAATATTACCTCATAGATTTTGTCGATCACATGGTAAATCTTGTGATTTGTAACCTTAACAATGTTATTAATTTGTTAATTTTACACAGAGCTGAGCACAAGTTCAAAAGGCATAGTATCTACTGTTTACATGTTTAAAGGACTTACTTTATTTGAGGGACTTAAACGCTAGACTAAAAAAGTAACAAAATATGTTGTTAGCAAAAATGAAGAACTTACGTTTCACTCACTCGAGAAACATATTATTACTCTTTGATTAGTTCGTTGTACATTTCGATACATTATAATGTAATAGGAAAAAATAATAAAATGCAAGTCACACAGTGGTTGCACATAAAATACATATTATTATGGCATATTTCTAGTAATAATATTAAATAATAACTACCTAAAATAGTATATTTACTTAATACCTACAATTGGTTTTAATTCACGTCTTGTCTCGTGCACTTCCTCCGTGTACTACCACGTCCATTGGGACTATTTCAAATACAAAATATAAAACATACAAAATAATATAGGCATATAGTCAATTTTTTAATAACTACTCTACAGCATGTCGAACAACAATTAAATCGAAAGTCCTTTCCGATTCATTCGAGTAAATTACATACATCCTAGTTAAATTGTTAATACAACGGTCTTCGACGTTAAGCCATACATGTACAAATGAAACGACCAGAAAGATTTAATAAGATAATCATCGGTGTCTGAAGAACAAAATTAAACATCTATCCAATGTACACTTGGATGATCACAAAAACAACTTTTGAATTTGTTTATTTTTATGTGTGTAAGTACTTAAGTCGTAAAATATACCATAACATATTAATTTGGTGTGCGCAGTTAAAATATTTTAAATGTATATTTTGAAATTTAAAAATATATATGTATTTTCCGCTTGGATTTACATTACAATCAGACTATAACATCATTATTATTATAAGAAACCCCTTAATAATATTAAAATACACATATATTTATATTTTTTTTTTAGAATAAATTAATATAATTATTGTTGTAATAATAAAAATGCGATGACCCTCAACTTTCAAAAAACTTGACCCTGATCGACAACAAGCTACATTTTGTTGCATAATATTATTTTGAATAATATCCAAACACAGATCGGATCTCTTATTGTATTTTTTTATATTCAACACTAAACGTTTCTAGATCAGCTGTTTATCAGTCATCCTTTCACATGGCAGCAAATTATATCACTCTGTTAATTTACTATAAAAAGAACCCCTGTGGCGAACTAGGAAGTATTAAAGACAAATACAACAATATATAATAAACATAATACTATACTATAATGCATTTATTCGTTTAAAAATAGTATGTATTATCATAAAACTATAATTCAAGCTTATTATTGTTCATCGTTAGAATTTTAAATATTCATGTCACTCTATAATATTATCTTGCCATCATCAGAATTACAAAATTATACTAAAAAGCAACAGGTTCGACGAATTTTCATTGTATTTTCTAAAGATTTCTATTTTAACAAAATGTATGTTTTTTCTCAGTGCGGCGAAAACATAATAATTTCTAACGTTTTCATATGCACAAAATCCTGTGAAATACACAAAATTAAGACCATTGTTTTTCGTAAGTATAGTATAGGTAAGTTATAAACGTTCACTTTCCAATGACACAAAATAACACATTAAGATTTATTTTAAGGCCTCAACAGTTCAGTAATTTGCCAATGATAATTATATAAATATAACCGTCGTTTTGTTTGTAAAATCTACTTTTTAAGGTGGTTTGCTCAACAGTCAACGCCTTTCAACTATTTGTTGAAGTCTACGCTCTGAAAACACACTTTTCAACACTAATTACTTAGACGGGTAAAACTATTGTAGTGGGTAAATTTAAGACAACCATGGCCAAGCTTCAGTTACCCAAAACAAGCCGTAAAGAGTGCTTACATAACCGCTATTATATAGCACCAAATCGGTGTCCGAGTGTAGGTATACTGTTAAATTATAATGCTATTAAGTACTTATAGTAGTATTAATATTACCGGTATCCAAAGGACAAGTGTGTCACCGAACCTTTACACGTTATAGTCTGTATTGCGAAATCTCAAGACGTTGCCGGCACCTAACCTGTCCGTAAAATGATACCATCGGTTATTACACAAACAAGGATTATTGAGAATGACGTCATTGAAGGAATTTCAGGGTGCAGCATTGTCCCACAAGCGGTTCTGGCATATTATTATAAACAAAAAAAAAACGACCATGTTATAATATTTGTAAACGTTTACGTTCTTCCTATTACGTGTGCGGTAAACCTGACCGAAGACGGGACCGGTGGCGTTTGCCCGTAGCCCAGAGGCGCGCACAAACTTCCTGGCATACTTACTTACTTGCTTACCTGAGGTTTCGTGCACACGATCTGAGCGTGGGGTTGTATAATAATCCAGTCGGGAAGGCCGCGCGTGGTCGTAAACAAGACGGAAAGATCACAACAACAACAAACGGTCACGTAATACCTATACAAGGTGATCCATTTAACGTAAGACATTTCTCTTAAGGCGGCGCTTGAACTTTTGCAGTGTGTTTCTTTAAAAAAAAAAAAAAACAATTTCAATCGTGTTACTCTTTGCAATATACTACTACAGGTTAGATGAAAACCAGATGGTGCGCTCCCTTTTAAAGCAATATTACATTGCTGAAAATGTAAACAAACCGAAACCCTCCTCTACTCGGAGTAACGACTGGTAGAAAAAAAACACAACTGGAAACTTATTTTTTCAACTGAGCATCACTGTTTATATTAATTATCAAAAAAACAGTAATGAAACCGAAAAAAAATCTTGATAAACCAAATGTAATTATTATATTTGACCGAAATTATTATTTTAATACAGATTTATAACAACTGAACTAAATTTTAATTCCATCGACTTGATTGGTGCATACTTCATGTATTGGCTATGACCGAAGTTCAGTAATTTTAGTTTTTATAATGCACATTGGATGTACCTATGATGACTTTTACAACATATCAACTGTTTTGGCGTCACTAGTATGGCCATTGAACTTAAAGCTACAAAAAAAATGTACTTTTATTTATGAAAATTATGTCAGTAGAAATAACATAGTTTATTTAAAATTTAAAAAGAAACAGGATACTAAAATGTTTGAATAAAATCTCACATTAAACTGACTTTCCAATTAATTAATTAGATGAGTGTTATTTAATATGTTTTTAGAGTTATAGAATATAACCATTTGGCATATTAGATCATTATATCTGGAATTTGTATACTAATGTTTATTTAATTATTATTTTAATAACCTGGAGTTGGCTGAGACCAAAATCTAGTTACGTTGTGAATTTTTATGCTGCTTTTGGCCTATATTCGAATTTTACATCACACATAATAATTATCTAATTATTAATTTAAACAAAATCCCATGTTTTTATTATTATATACATTATATATATATATATATATATGTAATGTCAATTAATACAATTTTATTTTTATTTTATTTTGGTATAATATATTATATTTTGCCAGTACAACATGACATACTGTAGTACGAAATTTATATTTATTATAGTAATCATATTCGGTCTAAATCCTAATAGATTTTTTGTTGTTTTTACCTAGAAAGTAACCAAATTTGTGCTCATTCAGGCTGAGACTTGGGTAAAGTTTGCTCTTTTGGACTTTTTCCCTGGGCAAAATTACCTAGTCAAAGTGGGTTCGACCCAGAGTGCGCATCGTTCGAATAAAACGTTATCTAAACAATCATTTGGATAACGCATAATTCGAATAAAACCAAATTGGAGTATTTTTTTTTTTTAATTTCGGAAATAATTATTCTAAGAAATTGTGGAAAAAAAATCCTAGTCATTTTCTTCGCTCCACGAAAAAAACATTGGACATGTCATCTCTTGTCACTTATCGATTTTTTCTTATCTCTAATCTCTTAAATTTTTTTCAATATTTAAAACAACTAGAAAAACATAAAAATGCGCAGAAAATAGCTAGGTTTTCAAGACATTTGAAATCGTTTTGAATATTTCGCGTGTCCAGCCCGATAACATATCCATGTTGAAATTATTCGAATAACCTTTCGTTGGGCCGAATTGTAAAACGCTAATAATATTCGAATGAGAATTTGCACAACTCCACTTGTAAATAGCAGTTCAGCGGTACGGTCAACGTTATGTGGCGGTGCGTTACGGCCGACAGTATAGGTAAGACCTACTCCGGAGAAAGGGAAAGCGTTTTTTGTTTCTTGTGGTCGGTGGTCGTTTTAGTGATGCACTCAAGTTTCGGTCCGCGTTTTCAGGCACACGTCAACGTCGCGTCGTCGGTGCGCGTTTGCACAGTCACTGTTGTACTTGTCCGTCCGAACATTATCCTGGTCGTTTTAAATCAAAAAAAAAAAAATATATATATATTAATAATAATTACCGAAAAACTCGGTTCGTTAACGTCCGACGTGTTCACGTTTTTTTTTTGTAGTTTGTTAAAAAAATGCAACTACCACTCCGACGTTATTTGGAGTGAAAAGTTTTTTTTATTTTTTGGTTTCGTTTTTGTGTGTGTGTGCGTTTGTGCGCGTTTGTTTGTTTTTTTTTTTTTGGATTTGTTGCCTGATAAAAGAAAAAAAACCTGTAAGTATCCTAAGTTCCCGTCCGCGGTATCCCGCGTTAGATAAATAGATTTTGTAAAAATCGAAAAAAAAAATGAAATTTACATATTATTAGTGTTCTAAGACGACGCGCCGTGCAACAGGCCAAACGCGTTTGGCGCCATTCAGAACACGGTTAATAGGCACTATAAAAATAAACACTCAAGTCCACAGAATTGTACGGATTAAAATAACGTCTTACATATTATATGTTTTTATTTTATTTTTTAACACAATGTTCATCGCCGGTATTGTCGACATATATTGTATTTTTAAGTATACGGAGATTAAAATCGTTTCGTAAACAAACTTCGGCTGTACTTATTTCCTTTCATAAATAAATAGCCTGGAATGAGTTGTTTGACGATTGATGGACATTTCCCTATACACATTATACATCCACAACAATACAATGACATTGGGATTTCATGTTTAACAATTATTGATGTACGTCTTAATAATGGTACGGTTTATTTTGTCATTTATTTATCATCAGTTTTCTTTCGACATTCATCTTTGTATTATAATATTCTAGTAATCGGTAATGGCGTACTACATTTCAGTTTCGCACGAACACAATAGTACTTCATAAATTACAAATAAATTTAAATAGAAAACCAGCGGAGAAACTCCTAATTTTTAATTAGTAACAATTATAGTTTTTCGCTTTGGCATTGAAGTATTATTTAGTTTTTATGTTAATTACATATCATCTCATCATTATTACCACTTAAATAAGTAAAATGTAACGGGAATAATTTTTTTTTCAAATATTATGTACACTAAAATACTTATTAACCGTTCTCCCTAATCAACCTTACAAATCAAGTATAGCTCACTGCTCAGTAACACTAAAAGTATAGACTGAACTGTGTTTAAATGTTAAGCCAAACCAATGAGAACAACCATGCGAATTATTTGTTTTGTTTTTTTTTTATTTGAAACAATGTACTCAAACAGGACATTAAATGTAGGTACATGTTTTAAATATGAAAACATATGATGAAAAAAAACTTCTATTCAAATTTCAAAATTTCAAACATAACTATGTTTTTTTAAATATTATGCAATTCAAGATCGATCATTAACGTGTTACTAGTGTTAAAAAGTTAAGTTGATTTCAATTTTTTATCCACGTCTCAACTAACTGAACTAGTTACTGAATTAAATTAAAATGAAAACTGTACTTAACTAATTTATCGACTTGGCTTTAGTCAAGTGTACATAATAGTTTTATAATCCAATCAAGTCGGCTGAATATTTTAAACGTTTAACTTAATTTATATTAATATCTCAACTATGATAGCTACTGACTAAATATATTACAAATCGTTACTATTAATAATAGTTTTTGTTCAAACGCTCAAGCCTATCAAAATCATCTGATTTGCATTGATACATTTTTTTAAATTATTATTTTGTGCTCCAAAATTGTAAATTAACACTGGTGTTTGTTGAAATTCTCAAAACGACGGAATCCGAGCCTTTGTAGAATAATCAAATTTTTTATAAAATCCAAAAAAGTGAGTTCTGATAGTTTCGGTTGATCGTGTCTTTTCTTAATATTACTATGATGTTTTTTGCCCCCCCCTCCCCCCTCCAAATGACTATCATTTTTTATTTTTTTGGAATTTTGCGAATGCTGACCATTGTTTTCCGCGTGCACCATACGTTTCCCTACACGAATTCGATTCAAGGAAATAGAAGTTCTTTTCCTGTGATCTTGGATGCGAGTCAAATGATGCGTATAGAGATGTTCCGGTATTATGGCCGGATTTCTCTGTGTGTTTCCAAACGGATCATAATATACATTTTTATTATTCAACGTTATTCCGATACGGCGACCGGAGTGGCGCAACAAACGGAAAAAAAATATTAAAGATACCAAAATAAAATGTAATCTATAACCAAATTTTACTTCGGTCATCTACAACGTTCGTGGCGACGGACGCGTAGGCATGCGACCTTAGGTTTTAACGTCCGTTTGCTTCCAGACCACTAATCGTTGGTCTCTGTTGGACTTAACACAGTATAACACACAACGCTTGTACATAGCATGCAATCATCTCGCCCCGTGAATTCAATACTAAAGCCAAAACCGTAAAAAAACATTTTTTTTTCGAAACATCTCAAGTATAGCGTACAACCGCTTTTCTCTGGGCACAGGTAAATACAATAATGCGTGTACCTACTCGGCAACCATCGTTGAACGTTAATTATCATAATCATTACTCTAGGATGTCTAATGTAATATGTCCAATGAGCGCGTTTTGTTGTTATTTTTTAACTCGGTGCTAAGTGGAGCGCGGTAGAATAAAATTAAAAATTTCCGTTTTGGCTACAAGAGTAATGATCACGTTGCACTCAAGATTCTCGTTAATAAGGTTACTCGACAATTTTAAAATTAAAAAAAAAATTGTCCAAGACAAGATACAAAAAAAAAAATAGCTAATACCGTTAAATACACACTTATTGTGGATTTCTTTTTTTTTGTTTAAACAGGACAAGCCCAACCACAAATAGCAAAACATAATGAATGACGAACCATATTAAAATTGAATATTTTGAATATTTTTTTTATTTTATACTACCCTCTCTGCTATGACCAAATAGAGACATATCACAAGAGGAGGTGTAGTAACTCGAATTGCATTTTTCTTAATAGATTTAAGTGTTAAATAAGTATTCGTTGTAAATTAATTAAAAATGCAAATAACAGCTATGCCATTTTTTTGTTTACCTGTTTTTGGATTGTTGTTCATTATGTTATTTGGTATCAGTGCCGCGTAAATGAAGGTTATTAGGTTAGGTTAAGTAAGGTTAGGAGATTTCATTCGATTTGATACTTGCTACTATTGAGCAGAATATTAGATCCGCATCTGTTTGCTAGATACTTAGTATCGGGAATAGATTGCATGACAAGTTAAAATAATAACTATGTAAAATAATAACCGTCGATTTGTTTAAATGCTTTCACCGTTGTAATGGTCACGTCCCAGTCACTTGCACTTGTACCTACACGTGCAGAAGTAACAAAACATAATGAAACTTGTTTTGATTTGTTTGGATTGCATGATTTATAAAAACCATGATAAATCTTGGACGTTCAACCGCAAAAATAATATACAATTTAAAGCCAATAATTAGTTACACTTGAGAAATGAGTTGAAAATAAATCGTTTCATAAAAAACCCTTGCCAAAACGATTATCGATTAATTACTCTATTTAGTAACATTATGAATTATCTATCATTTTTTTAGAGAAGTTATTGATTGTACAATAATGTTTTAGTTTTCTTGTCTAGATCTACGAACTTAAACCAAAATCTAAAATAACTAATTTATAAACATAATGTCAAATTGCAAAAATGTTTCAACTTGTTTAAGGAATATTATTTGAACATATTTTTGGCCCAAAATAATCTATAAAATATACTGTGTTTAATAGTTCCGTATTTAGGACGTAAGAACTGGAATTTATATTAGAGGTAGATCTATCTTGTTTTTTTTTTGTGATTATCATTGTTTATAGTTTTACATAACCGTTTCGAAAGACGGGCGCGAACAAATTCGACTAAAACATAATAAACACAAACATAAGTGGTTTGTTCGGGTATGACAAAAGACATCATTAGTTTAACCAGCGTGGCGTGGGCGGCTAATGAACGGTATTATGCACAAGGTGGACACGTATCGAATGCGGTTTTATCCCATAAGCACACAAACATGCGTGTACAGTGAGCTTGTAAAGTTTTCTATTGATTTTGCTGCCTAAACGGTTCGTTCTACAAAGTACAAATTACAAAAAAAAGTGTGATTTTATAAAATATACATTTTGTGTACTTTAATTTATTCCAAACGAAAGCAAAATTATATATTTTATATTTGTTATAAGTATAACTTTTTAGAAATTTCCCGGTGTCCCCATATTCTTATAACGTGACCCGTTTTTAGTAATTCTAAATTTAACTAACTGAAAGAGCAAACAAAATTACCAATTATTGTTATTCGGTTATTTATTTTAATGAAATTCATATTTTTTAACAAATGTTAGTTTTTTAAATGTGGGCTTGTAAAAATATGTCGTTTATGTTTTTTTATTGGTTTAACGTTTTTGCTTATTGTTATGTACCTCTACTTTTTCTTTTGGTTTTAAAAACTTTTCTTATCGACAGTTTTTGGCGGAAATTCTTATCGTTGGAAGACTATGTCTATTGGCTTGTTTTTTTCTACATTAATTTATGCAAATATCTTTACGTTTGATCTCTCTCGGCACACAATAGTATTATATTGAGTAAAATTCACATTTATTATTACCATTATTCCTTATGATGTTCGCACGCACAGAGACGGTCCCGTCTTAGATCTCACTCACGATCCTCGCCAAAGACGTTAGTAGGGACTTTTGGAATCGATATTACCTATTGATTATTATTATTATTATTATTAAAAAAGAAAAATACCCACACGGTATTCCGTGATTTCGGTGAACTCCGACCTCGTCGCCCGGGTCAAGTGTGTCTTACAGAAAGTAGGAAACGACGCATTCGGCGAGCATTGTATTTTGTACACTATACAGTCTATGCGATAGAGTATAGGATATCAAATATATACATACACAACAGTATAGTGTACGGTTATGCAACGATTGGGTACACACACTTATTAGCTCACACACACGCTTAAACGGAGAGACCGACGGGCAGACGATGCGACCGGTTACCTATGTCGAGAATAGGTACACAGCCCGCAGGGGTCATTTGGACTGTCGGCCAAGTGAAAGTGTATAATAAAATTATCCTTGGATTATATCATATCGATAATGTTATGCGTGTGCAGTTGCCTTTTTTCCCCTCGAATCGACTTGTACTTGTGGTTACATTATGGCTGTCAACGTTCATCCAATAACACAACTGAGTTTGGATCCAGGTATGAAATGTCCAGAAAAAATATGTCCAAAGGGCAAAAAAACGACTAATTTATAAATTTAAAATAACTTTTTGAGTTAGTATGAAAACGAATAGTACAACAATTTCAAATATCCAAACCGCACATATTTTATGTTTTTATTAGGTTATAAAACAGAAATCAAAAGTAATATAATCAGTTTTATACTTGGATATTTTTCTTACCAAACACCGCCCATTGTACAAATATTATTAACAGATAATCTATTTGATACTTGGGTTTTTTTGAATGTGAAGTATCTTCTATGTAGGATTTCTGATTTATAGACTACATGAAAATATTGGTTCGACAGTTTAAGAAATATCACAAAAAAATGTAGAAAAATATCAAAAATACATTAATGTAAAAACAATACCTTCTCAGTTGCCCAATGAAGCTAAAATTAATGAAAACATTGATATTTTTCGATTACATAAATTGGCATATTAGACGTACACATATAATATCAATTAAAAAACGTGGGATTTACTTAACATGTAACAGTAGTAACAACAGCAAAAATAACGGTAAATAGTAGTAGTGGACACGACGAGGAGAATTATTACATATATAATTATTATTGCGAAAACGAACGCAACGTGTACGGTATGAAATATTATAACACCGCCTGTTGTATGTATGTTTTTTAGGTGTGACGTGTGTTTTGTTTCGGTGCTGTTGCAGGAATCCAGACCACAAGACGGCGTTCGGTCATTATGTAAAAGCGAACCACCGCAGTTACTGCAGTGAGAGGTCAGTTTGGACAATGTGTATCGAAGGACAAGCCGGGGATTCGTGTGCTTTAACTACCAGACATTCAGGTACACCTGCACTTGAAAATTAAGTAAAAAAAACATAAATAAAAAAGGTTCCCGCGGAAGAACGTTGAAAATTTGTGACATGAAATTTATTTGTATCCAGCCCAATAACATATCCCCGTTAAAACGTAACATGATGCGACGTGGCTGCAGCCACCCCTTCTGAAATAACGTGTTATTGTGGTTTTTTGCAGAACTAGTATCGACCAGTAATTATGGCGTTATAGTCAACGGCACCGGGGGATATGATATTCGCCTTAATAGCGGCCGGATCAGCTCTGAAAGCTGGCCTGACAATAGTTGGGACGAGCGTATGGCTGATACCGGTGATGATAGCCGCAATGGCCTACTACCGGTATGACCTGTACGACCCGGAATCGCGGACTTTCAACCAAAAAATACTCCGCCGAGAGTATGACTTTATCATAGTGGGTGGCGGTTCCGCCGGCGCCGTGGTCGCCAGTCGGCTGTCGGAAGTAAGTTTTCGAAACGCATTTTTATTTTGTTTTCGAAACGCATTTTTCATCCAAATCTGAACGTGATGTTTTGTTTTTTTTCCTATTCAGATTGGTCATTGGAGTGTTTTGCTGTTGGAAGCCGGTCAGGACGAAAACGAACTGTCGGACGTTCCGTCGCTCGCGGGCTATCTTCAGCTGTCACGACTCGACTGGCAATACAAGACCGAACCCACGGGTAAGTCGTGAAAAACGTTACCATCCAGTCTTTGTCTGAATTCAGTACTGGATAATTGTTTAGAGTATAGTTTGCGTTCGAAGATTATTATGTATTTAAAAATTGAATTCATTTTCAGGTAAAGCATGTCTGGGCATGAAAAATCTGCGGTGCAATTGGCCAAGAGGCAAAGTGTTGGGCGGTTCCAGTGTGCTGAACTATATGTTGTACGTGAGGGGTAATCGTTACGACTACGACGGGTGGCGGGACATGGGCAATGAAGGTTGGGGATACAGCGAAATCCTTAAGTACTTTACAAAATCAGAGGACAACCGCAACCCGTACTTGGCCAGGCCTGGATCGCCGTATCACAGGTCTGGCGGACTCCTAACGGTACAAGAAGCCCCATGGAAAACTCCACTCGTTCTGTCATTCGTAGAAGCTGGTCAAGAAGTAACGGGATACCCAAACAGAGACATCAACGGAAAATATCAGACCGGATTCATGGTAGCACAGGTAATATGGGACATATAGACCACGTACCGGTTAAACGCAACTTTCTGCTAGTGAAATAATAAAAAATAAAATTGTGTTAGTTCAAGTTTCCTTTGATAAAAGTTTCTACAAATTTTTATTATTGTAATTTTTAACTCGATGGCATGTTCATTTATATATTTTTGTTGGCTCCAGGACTTCTTTTAAGTTTCTCCGTCCATTCCAGTCACAGCTCTGACATCATTCTTTACTCAGTTTAACCACTTCGGACCAATGCTCCGTCGAGCCGCCGCCGAACATTGCCTAATAATACATAAAAAATGGACTGTTTTTGTTTTTCCCATGTACTATTATACCTACACTATTGTGTAAGTGTTAAATAATGAAAAATCACATCCCTCATAGTTAAAAAACAGCAAGCCGTATATAAATCAAGAAAGCAAAACAAATGTGTATAGTCTATCGATAATATAATAATTCAACGCGGTTGTATACGTTTATTTACGACTCGGCAACGATGACAAATCATATTTGGTAAACGTCGATAGTCGTTCTTACCGTTCAAACAATTATCGTGTAGACAATCGTAAAAAACAAAATAAATAGCTAACGTTGCGTGCGGCAGTGCTTAGTCACGCGATTGAAAAAATAAAATAAAATAATACCGCACTTGCTATAATAACAATAATAATAATAATAGCCGTTAACGTGTGTCTTCTGAAATTGACTCACGCAACCGCCTTAATCGCAGGGCACGATCCGGAGGGGCACTCGCTGTAGCTCGGCAAAAGCGTTCCTACGACCAGCCAGGCTCAGGGCCAATTTGCACGTCGCCATGCAAGCGCACGTCACCAAAATCGTTATAAACCCAATAACCAAACGGGCTACCGGAGTGCAGTTCCTGAGGGACGGTCACGTGCATCTGGTGCACGCCAAACGCGAAGTGATCCTATCGGCCGGCGCCGTCGGCAGTCCCCAGATAATGATGCTGTCCGGAATCGGACCCAAGGAGCACCTACACCGGTTGAACATACCGTTAGTGCAGGACTTGCGGGTCGGAGACAACCTGCAAGACCACGTCGGACTGGCCGGACTCACGTTCATCGTCGACAAGCCCGTAGCCATTGTGCAGAATCGATTGAGGGTAAGCGTGCAAAACAACACTCGAAACTCGCCATTTGAGCATATTTTTTTAATGGAAATAATCGAAAGTAAACACAAAGTACGCGTATTAATACAATGTAGGTCTCCGAATAAACAAAACATGTGTTCACTTACAAGCAAAATGAGTCAGTGTACAAGGTTTTCCTCAGAGTCGTTGATATTATTTAAATAAGATCAACGAATATGATGTGACTACATAAAGACGACATGATACGCTCGTAAATTCGATTAGTTATTATTATTTTTTTTTTTTTTTGACTAAGATTTCGCCAGTTTTAAATAAGGGTTGCAAGGGATGTAAAGGTACTAAACTCAAGTGACTAAGTTAATTGAGGATAGGTGGAGGATGGTAATCACTGTATGTATGATTAACATACGGTATGTGATTAACTAAATAATTTATTTTTAGTGATTTAAGTAAATTATTTGATTTAATAATATGTAAAAATTAATATTTAATCAATCAATTAAATTTTTAATTATCACACGATTATTTTCCATTTTTAATTAGCATTTTAGTTGATTGTAATTTTACCCGGTTCCGCTTGTTCACCCACCGTATGCAACGTGAATTTTACTGTGAAACTTTTACTTTTAGCCGATTCCCGTAACGATGGAGTTCATTGCTCGAGAAAGAGGACCGATGACTACACTGGGCGGTGTCGAAGGACTCGGATTTATACCCACGGTCTACGCCAACGACACGGACTATCCAGATATTCAATTTCACATGGCGCCTGCCAGCATATCCTCGGACGACGGAATCAAAGTCCGCAAAATATTAGGCATCCAAGATTCTCTGTATGACAGAGTGTATCGTCCGATAGCCGACAAAGACGCTTGGACTATCATCCCTTTGTTGCTGAGACCGCGGTCTCGGGGCAAAATCAGACTGCGATCTAAAGACCCGATGGTTTACCCGTACATACATGCCAATTATTTCGACGATCCCTTGGACATTGCGACACTAGTGGAAGGCGTCAAGACTGCCGTAAAAGTAAGAGTTTTCCTATGCTGTCCAAAACCGTCTTGCTTATCTCGTACACCAATAATAAAAAACTACTAGAGTTTATATTATTTAACGAGAAAATGTTTGAAAATGAAGGTTGATATTCGTCTTAAACTGTAAAATTTAATATCTAGTTAAAATGTTTAAAGGTATAACGTAATATTAAAATGATTAGTCAAATTTTAGCAAGAGTATGCAAAATCCAGGTACTCGGATACTTAACGAGTCACAACGCATGGCCCATTTCTTTATAATCTTGATATTATTTTATAATTTACATATAATATAATGACGGCGAATACGATAAAATCTTTATAGTTTTACCATCACAAAAGTCGATGAGATAAGATCCACGAGTCCCACTACACGTGATGGATTTATTCGGTTTGACGGCTTATGTATGGCATTTGCTGTTGTTCACCCGGCCACCGGTGATATCCTCCTATCACTTTCAACTATCCGTGCGTTTCGCTGTACTTCTCTGCGTCCTCGCTTGTCACTCTCCTGACACCGAACGACAGCTGTTGTTAGCAATTAGTCGGTTAATCATCTCTATTATCTGTGGAAAAAGGTATTATATAGCTTGCGTATGAGTCCGCAACACCACGGGATACTTTTTTATGTATCTAAGGTGGCTAGTAAACATATCAAGTTTCTGGCTAATATTTTAATGTTTTCATAATATCTGGCCCAAAACCAATCATAGAGAATTTGGCCACTTAAATTATCGAATTTATTATTCATTTCTATTTTGAACGTTGTGAACACAACATATATGCCCCCCCATCCCCAACCCTCATCTCTTACCCCCTATCTCTCATCCCCTTACTCTCACCTCTAACTCTCACTCACTCTCACCCATATCTCTCACTCCCTAACTCTCACCCCTTCCCTTATCGCTTATCTCTCTTATCTTATCAGATAAATCAGCTGTTATTTTTCGGTGTCGATTTTCCGTGTGCGTGCGCCACAGCGAAGATATAAAAATGTAAAAAAAAAACCCGTATTAACGCCTATTGTCGGCGATTGTCTTGTCCGCAGATAGGTCAGAGCAGACCGTTCCGGCAGTATCGTTCGCGGCTCCACAGAACTCCCATACCGGGCTGTGTGCGATTCGAGTTCAACACGGACCCGTACTGGGAGTGCGCCATCCGTCACCTGAGCATGACCATTTACCATCCGGTAGGAACGTGCAAGATGGGACCGCCGGACGACCCGGCCGCCGTGGTGGACCCGAGACTGAGAGTGCACGGAGTGCAAGGACTGCGCGTGGTGGACGCGTCGGTGATGCCGACCATAGTCAGCGGCAACACCAACGCGCCGGTGATCATGATCGGCGAAAAGGCGTCGGACATGATCAAACAGGACTGGTTGTCGGACAACCGGTACTCGGGTTGAGATCGAAACGTGTGTCCTGAAATTATAATAGGATTTCCCGCCCCTCCGATCCTATTTATAGAAACGATTACGACTGTGCCATTTGCAGTGTACCCACTACGGGTTATTTCTCAAATCGTATGTTATATTTAAATAACTGTTACCATTTTTTTTTTTTTTTTTGTAACTTCTATGTAAATATAGTTTATAATAATAATAATAATACGATAACGTGCCTGTTTGTTTGCATTCGTATCGTCCGCGATCCGAACATTAGTGTAATTCCGGCGACTTTGTTCTAATCGACAAAGTCGATGAGAGCAAAACGTTTAACAGAGACTGTCTGTCAACCCTTTGAGTCGTACGTTACAATTTTATTTTGTCAAGCAACGCAATTGCTGGAAATGCGAGCGAACCAAAACCTCTTTTGACTCAAAGTAACCACCGACAGGAAAAAAATTCTTTATGAGAAATTATTTATAGAAATGATTTGATATTATAGTAAAACGTGTCGTACGATATTTTCATTTCTAGAACGTAGTCACACTGAGTTGAGGAGGGTTTCACTTAACAGTAAATGACAAAGAGCACAATCTGGTTTTTATCCAATCTGTGGTCTTATCGTTTTCTTGAGTTACACAAATCGATAATACTATTAGCTATATCCATCGTAACAGCAATTTTTTAAGGACTGATCAGTTTTATCAAAAGCGATCAAAATTATGAAGTTTACATAATCCGTTGGTTATGACTCTAAGGTAACCGATAAACGGCAATTTTAATAAAATTGGAAAGTCAAATTACAGATCTGCCAGGGCGAATGTACTAGTACAGCTATATAGATTACAAATGTAATACCACACCGACGGCATTCTCCTGTTGTATACAAGATGGCCTAAAAAATCATCGGTTCATTAAGCACGAACATCATCCGTGAACGCTTCTGCTTCTCTTCCACGGCAATTATATTATTATGCACGATTATCGAGTAAGCCGACCGATTTTGAAACAAAAACCGGAACACCGCAAATATCATAGAATTAACTAATTATAAATTTCGCGATAAATGACTACATCACAATATTATATGTTTTATTTAAACCGAGAGAAACTATAGTTAAAATTGTATTTTACATTCCATATTGTCGTGGTGCTTATACAGGGTGTCCAAATTCCAACTTGAATCAGGCAAATAAAGATTTTTTTTAATTCAATGCAAAAAACAAAATAAATTTTAAAATGTAAAACTATAACGCCAAGTTACGAGAAAACTTAATTGAATAATGTGTATTCAATATACCTGTATAGGTATATTATCAGGTATGTATGATATTGCAATAATATTGGTAAATCCTAGTTCCCACTTGTGTACATTTCAATGGCCAATTACATATGATGTACAGATAAAACTATCAATAACTAAAGTATATACTATTATAACCAATCGAATTATCTTGGTAATATTCAAATAGGGTTATCCATTCACTCAATACACATTTTCAACTACTACTGTAGTTATTTAATGCAAGCAAAAAATAATAAAAATGTTAATGGTTTAGTTATTTTTATTGTGAAAATTGTCATACGCTTTTGCCCTGCAGACTTTGACTCAACAGTAATTAATAATAATTTTTTGGAATAATCCATGATGTTTTAAGTATAACACATTATGTACTTCAGCTGTTAATTAATTTAAAAAAAGTTAATAACAAAAATCTAAATAATACATTATTCTTGGAATTTTTCGTACAGTTATTATTATATAAAATGTATAAAAACAATGAAATTAAATAACAATAAACATCCTTAATTTATTATACACCGACCTATCTGTTTTGCTATATTATTTAATTTGCTATCCAATATGAAAGGGGACTCATTGATATAACATTAATTTGCCAACGACAATTGCAAGGGCAAACACATTACATTAGTACTATTTGCCTAATGATGTTTAACATGGAATTTAATTGATATTCGTCCACTCCAAGGAGAAATGTGTCATGGGAATATTAGTATTGCATTTTTTAAACATTTATTTGCCAAATTAACTGATGAAAGTATAGTATCAGTAAGATTATCAACAACTGATATTTTTTTTTAAATACGACTTGAATGAGTTTTGTTCAGTTATTATATATTAATTTATTCTACATTTATGTTTCAAAAATGACATTCATTTGTTATTGTTATAATATACTATCAGATTAAGGCGTAGACAGTATATTAATAATGTATTGATTTTTCTATGATGATTAAATCTCGGAGAAAAAAAAGAAACTTTTCTTATGTCATAATAGTGAGTGTAATTCAATGAGAATTTAGTTTGGCTATACAATTTAATTTATTGCTATGACTTGAAAAGATGCATAAACGTTAAAAACTGCTAAAACTTTGTTGGTTATTGTGTTTCAAATGTCTAGTTTGAAAACTAATATAATATAATCAGAAAAACATATTATATCAATAATATTTATATACTTTTTACTATTAACATGTTTTAATTTAATTAAAATACTTTGTTTTTTAATTTTAGAAATACGTTTAAATGTATTTAGCCAGGAACAAACAAAATACACAAACGGCCTTTAGTGTTTTGGAAATTGAATATTGTTAAAACACTTAATCAAAAACACAACAAAAATGGAATATATTAACACAAAAAAAAATATTAATAATGAATTATTTACATTAAGTGTGGTACACCGTGTGTAATACATTGTAACTGACAACTGTAGTGAATTCGATACTGAGTTTCTGAAAGGCGCAGTAGCCGGTCTATCGCCGGTGTTTCTAAAATTGTCTACACTATGCCCCTTTCCTGTATATAAGGTAATATTATATAAATATCGAATGTATAATAGTCGAATCTGTAGTAAAAATTGATTTTTATTAAAAAAAAAATGTAATATAATGTATGTAATGTAATAAAAATATGTCCACAGTGAGACGACGTACAAAACGTACATAGTATATTGTATGTACATACGCTATGACTCATTTTTTTCATGTTTCAAATAGGCGTTTGGATTCTACGAATTTGTTTTAAATCTTGTGTTTACACATAAACTAACGGCACATTTATTATTGCACTGGAACACAATAATAAAATAACGTGTTTACTAGAAAACAAGATATGCGTAGGTAATAAACATTTTTTTTAAATACCATTATTGTTTTTTGTACAAAATTTGTATTTGCTATAATATTTGTAACAATATGGTACTATCGTGCGAGCAAAATCAAACGACCAGAAACAAAAATAATAGAATAAGATTTGGCCAAAAACCAACTTTTATGATAATTTATACAATAATAGTTCTAAAATTATAAGCTTTTAAATTGATTACTAATTCTTATGATAATCCTTCTGACCATGCAGCAATAACATTGTACATTTAAATGTATAGATACGTACATACGAAAACGAAAAAGAACAAAATAACTAAAGTAGATTAAAAAATTAATCTAAAAATAACGTTTTTATGCGCCTTTAAAAGTATAAAATAGCCCTCTGGAGGTCTTGATAACCAAATAGGACAGATGAACTAGAAAAACGTGGGGCGCATCTTTACTACTTCACGCGTCTGAGTATATAATAACATTCTCTTCTCATTAATAACTACCTTAACTCATAATTCATGCACAATCATCTTTTCTCTTCTAAATAAAACAATACTTAATGACATGTCATGTAAAATTGAGCACCACATTACTTTATATGTTAAGCAAGTAGGTAGTTAACAAAAAAAATTGAAGCAACCTACATAAAACAAACTTTGGAGAGAATAGCAATTAAGTCTTTTCAATTTGCAATGAAATTTAAGGCAAGTGGCACGGAAATCCATTAAATTTCATTCCCAAAAAAAAGTCATACTATCACTTTCTGATCCGTTCGGTTAGAGAGACAGCATTATGAGAGACAACTTAACGCCTTAGCATGAAAACTTAAGTTTTAATATCTAAGTAGAAAGATGCGCCCCACGTTTTTCTAGTTCACCTATCAATTTGGCTATCAAGTCCCCCGGAGGGCTATTTTATACTTTTAAAGGCGCATAAAAACGTTATTTTTAGATTAATTTTTTAATCTACTTTAGTTATTTTTATTTTTATACACCAAATGTATCAAAAATAAAATGAAAATTCATATTACCTATACAAATTTGAACCTGGTATATAAAAATTTATACTTATCTAACGACGATAAATATATAACAATTATTGAGTACCCAGTAGATAGAAGCAGGTAACTTTCATTTAGATAACTAAATTGCTTCAAGTACTTCAAGTACTACTTAATAATGTTTGCCTATTGAAAAGTTGTACAAAATGTAAGAAAGCAGTGTTTATTTGAAAAGCAATAGTGATTTTAGAGTCGTACAAAACATTTAGAAATATTGTACTTTAAAATTTTTTTTTAAAACATTTTAAGAGATTTTTAACATTATTAAAAACATATTAACATATTATTATATTAATCGGATAAAAAGTCTTCTTTGTCATCGGCGGTCCCATATTAAAATGTATTGAAGAAATGTGTAGAAAGATGGTAGTGGCCTTATTATCGCTGTTTTATTACCTAAATTAAAAAATAAAAATAATTATAAATATCATTTAATTGAAAACTATAATATAACACGAATACACTTAACGTAAAATTATTATAAGGTAGTAACTAAATTATAAATTATTGTTTTTATATTATTTACGATTTTAACTTTAATTTATAAAAACAATATCAAAACATTTTTTTAACAAACAATATAACAAACTTAGCTACGTCATCTGACTCCTTTTTCAGTTGTTCTTCAGTTTTCTGTTCTGCTGGAGCTAAATCAGAAGATGAAGATGAAATAGGAGCGTTATTCCTGTTACAATCACTTTCACATTTTTTCAAAAGCGGCTTGATACTTGCGAATACGTTGAAACCTTTAGGCTAAAATAATAATAGTTAAAATGGCATTTTAGGAAATCTTTAACATTTATATTATAAATAATTCGGAAAAATATTGACATAAACCTAATAGTTTTAAAATAATGGTATAAATTACCACAGGTCTATCTTCAGTTGTGTCACTAAGTATTTGTAAAATATGTTTCTGGTTTTTCATAACCTAAAAAAATAATAGTTTCTTAGATAAGAATGGATATTTAGGAAAACTCTACCCTTTAAATTATAAACAATTCAGCAAAATATTGACAAAAACATAATAGCTTTAAAATAATAGTATAAATTAGCTACGTAGTCCGACTCCTTTTTCAGTTGTTCTTCAGTTTTCTGTTCTGCTGGGGCTAAATCAGAATCTTCAATCTGTGTGTTGATAGGTAGTAATTGCCTTGTTTTTGCCGACGTTATCCTATCTTCAACCATATTTTCTACGGGTACTCTTTTTATCTTGCAAATGTATTCAAAAAGTTGCCCAAATCGTGTCAGATTTAAAAACGCTTAAACAAAATAATAAAAATTTTAATTTTATATATATATATATGTTATGTTATTATATGGACATGTGGTGCAGTGGTTAACATAGTTGAAGAAACAATTTATTTCATCTGAGGATGTATATTTCTTTACAATGATGTATTTTTATTTGTTTAAATTCGTGGCCAGACTACTGAGTGGACATTTTTTTCCTCCATTTGAGGTTTTTACTCCTTTCGGACGTTAATTGTTAAACACTTTTGAAACTCATACACTGTTTGATAACATCAAAAGCTTAATAATTTGTGTTAAAAAAAAAAAAACTACAAAAGAAACTTAAATATTTTAATTTATTTAAATGCGAACGAGAATACTTCTTTTAAACCAACCAATTTACAGTTTTGCTTTAAAGATAAAAAAGTATGATGTAATAATATATAACGTATATTATAGTTAATGTTTACCGTAATACTTAATGTCGTTTTCTGGATGAGCTTTGAAGAAATTTTTAAAAATAGGTTCCAAATCCTTTGGTTCGCCCATATATTTAAGAAAATATTCCTTTTTAATGCCTTCAGCTTCTTCGGCATTGGCACGTTTGATCCACTCATAACAATCATCGAACGAACTTTGTAAATATGAATATAACTCAGTATAAGTTACCTCAGCTTCAGTATTTTTTTCAGTTGGAGTTGAAACAGGTGCTTCATTTGTTTTTTTTTTTTGGTAATGAACAAATAAAAACAATTATTACTAATTATTATTATTATAAGTCTACCCCACTTTTTAAAGGGTTTTACTCATTAATAAGTGAACAGTATTTTCGAAACAGATATACTTTGTTAAGATTCGATGTGTTAATATAGTTTTATTTCTACTGTGCTAAATACTTTGATTTTTCATATAACAAAAAATATTAAACTTATCATAGTTATATACAGAAAAAGACTTTCATGTAATGTGAACCCGTTGTCTTTTTTAGAATAAAGTATGGCATGCCCATATCCGGAAATTTAGTTCAAATGCCAGTTTTTCTATTTTAATTATTTTGTAAATACTTTTTGCGTTGACAACGACACACTGACATTTTTTTGAGCACAGAAAATACACGAATTCCAAAATATAAAATATTCATCTCAAAGTAAAAATGCATTTATGTCTAATATTTTAACAAAATAGATTTTTAGTTATCTGCTTAATCAAATAAAATGGTATTTTAACCAAAACCCAGATCTGTTTTAGGTAACAAATTTGTTGATTATTTTGTAATTTGTAACATAATTAAATAAAATTTATTTTAAATATTTTTTTGACGGAATCAATTAATTGTTTTTTTCTAACCATCAACTAAATTATATTTAATTACCTTCGTTTGAATTTGTTTGGGGGATGCAACAACTGAAAGGTAAACGTTCAAATTTCAATATATATATTTTACACAAAAAATCTCTAGGATTGATTACATTTTTTATATAAATTTTTAACCAGAAATAATGTTTAAAAAATTACTTACCAAAATGAACGAACTAAACCTTTTTGGGGCTAAAAAAATATTTAAGTAAAACATTTATTATATTCAATGAATTTACCTTAAATCATTAAGTAACGATTCTAACTTTATTCTAGAATATAAAAACATTTTTTTAACAAACAATTTTAAAATTTTTTTTTGATTATTAAGATTTATGACAAGAATTTTATTTGCTTGTATTTAAGCTAAAATAATAATAATAATAGTTTTCCATATGACAATGGCTATTTCAACACATTTTAAATTTTATATTATAAATAATTCAGAAAAATATTGACAAAAACCTAATAGTTTTAAATTAACAGTATAAATTACCTTAGCATTGGACTCAGAGTTCTTATTTTTTTGGACATTATTCTTCTGGTTTTTTGGTTCTGGTCATCAACAAATAAAAATAACTACTAAATATTGTTATTATAAGTCAAAATAATATTTTTTGAGTTTTTAACTGATTAATACCTGGTTGTAATTTTGCCAATTCCCTCGCCAAGTAAATAATTTAAATTTACTTATACATTACTTCGGAGAAAAAAATTGCTAGTTTTACAACGTTTAACTTTAACTTTAACTTGCTACAATTTAGCGAAAAATGGTCGGATCGAGTATTAATTAGGCATTCCTTTGTTCGCAAATTTAGTTAAAACACTAGTTAAAATTTGTTTTTTTTTTTAATTGCACCGACAACGACACATTGACTTTACTATTTTTTTAGCATAGAAAATACACGAAATCCAAAAAATAAAACATTAATCTCGTAGTAAAACTGCATTTAAGTCTAATATTTTAATAAAATATTTTTTATTTATTTCCATAATCTAATAAAATGTTACTACAATCATATACAAACATATTTAAATTTAATTTATTTTAAATTTTTTGTAATATTTAATGAAAAATTCCTCTTCTTATTTAGTTTATTGCTATATTTATATAATTGTATATTCACCGTAATTTTATCGGTTTTAATATTAGGTATTTGGCCTATATTAATCATGCTTTATTTATCAGCATTAATATTATTATTTTTATATGTTGGGCCTATGTGTGTTACCTTTTCTTTTATATATTCAGCCTTTATTTTATAGGTTTATATTTTTTTTATTTTATAATCTATGTATATTTTTATTATTATAAGAATGAACTATGTTAAAACAATATTATTTTTGTATTATACATTTTTGTTATTATTGATGCAGTGATTATGATGTTGAAATAATACTGCAAGCTAAACCAGTGATCCGATAAGTAATCTGAAAACAGATTTGAATTTGTCATGAAGTTTACTTGAGATCGGTCAGCGTACTTTTTTGATATCATATTCCTACTTTGCATAAAACACGTTTGAACATTTTATACAATTTCAAATTTTAAAATAAAATTTAGAAATGGTTAAAATTAAAAATTGAAAAAAATACTCTGACCGATCTCAAGTAAACAGATATGACAAATTCATATCTGTTTTTAAATTGCTTATCGGATCACTGGTTCGGCCTGTGCGATGGCTAGAAAATGATGCGTTTTGGCTGAAAAAAAACGGTCGGTATCTAGGGGCCTTAAAATAATTATTTTTTATAAGTTGTTATATTTATATAAACATTTTTCGTGGAGGTCGCTACATAGCCAAAGGTTTTATTTGTAATGAAAGAAATAAAATATTGTATTGGAATTTTATAAGTTAAAATATTGTGAAAAAATGTTCGAGGAGCTTCGCAATGGCAGAGCCAATTATGATTTTTGTTTTTAATACATTTTAAATACTAGCTATACGATGAGAGGTTTTACAATGAGAAATCAATTTTTTATGACGTTTGGATACTTATTTGACAGACAAATAGCGGCAATGCAACTGTTTCAAGGGCTGCGACGATTATAGGACTTTGAAATTCTATTGTTGTGATATGATTTGACCACTACAATTTTCGAAAAGTTGCGGATTGATCTCTGTGGCAATGTGACTGATCGAAGGTCACGACAGAGTTACGAATTTTGGCTACGGCAATGTGGCTGACTGGCTGGCTTTAAGAAAAAATGTTTGAGCACTAAATCTGGTTGAAGTTCTTTTGGTTTTCTATTGCGACGATGTGGTTTCGAAGACCACGGCAGTATTGATAATGTTTTGGGTACAATAGATAATAGCAGTACAGTTGAATTTATTAAATTTATAAAATTTATAATGAAAAAATTTTAAATAAGAATTTTGTATTATTTTTGTATGGCTCCTTTTTTTATAAGTAAAAATTAGATAATGATTTTTGCTAAGTTTTGTTTGTTAAATTTTTGAAAATAATAAAAAATTGTAAGTGTTAATAAATTTAAACAATTTTACTAGGTAAGAGCTTGGTTGGGCACTATTTGTAATAATATAATTTTAAAAAGAAAAAGATATTATTATTTTTGTATGACTTTCGTTTTTGAAAAAAATAGACAATATCGGCAGTGTTTTTCGTTTATTATTTTATTAATTTTAAAATTTAAATATTATGTTACTTGAATATAGAAATTTTTTTTTTATTTGCTGATATTAATCTATTACAGTTTTTTTCCGAAAAAAATTCATTAACGTTAAAAATTGTTTAACCATTAACCAAATTATATTTAATTACCATCGTCCGGTGATCCAGTACCGCCAGTACACCTGAAAAGTAAACGTTCATTTTACAATGTATAGCTACACAAAAATAAGTCTATGTTAGATTACATTTTTTTTTTACAAATTTTAAACCAGAAATAATATTTTAAAAAATACTTACGAAGCATACGCTACTAGACTAAGTAAAAGAATAATCTTGATGTTCAACATATTTAATATCGTACAGGTAAAATATTCAACTGTTATAAGATACCGCTTAACTCGACTGTAATATCATACTGAGCGGAACTACCGAATTCACAAGACAAACTGTAGTTATTGTTCTACAATTTATTGACTTAGTCAATTCTAGTTGTTTTGTAGGTTTGTTTACATAAATGTGTTATGTTTTTATTTCTACTGCGCTATATCTTTGATTATTTACAAAACGAATTATTTCAAACCTTTTTAAATTGAATTTTTGTTTTATCGATTTATATCCTATGGAGTTCTACGTGACGAAAGCGATTTAGCTGCTTGGCTGATAATTATAAAATAAAATAAATTGTAAAAACAATAATCGCCAAGAATCTCCTCTGATTTTCCCTGTAACGGACCTACTCGTCTAGATGGCTAGACTAGGCAAAGTGGCCGTCGATAAGGCTAAAATAGACGGATTCCCATGGGAAAACGGTTGGCTAGGCCACTGTCTACGTCTAATTGGCCTTAAAGTCTCCCTAATTAACTTAATATATCGCCCGAGGAGCTAGAACGGGGGCGGTCACACTGTTAAATAATCTAACTCTCAGCTGCAAGGCTACAAGATGTTTTATTCTAAACTAAGGTCGCTAAATAAAATACAAAATAACAATATATATATATATATATACACTCTGACCGAGGTTGGACGATGAAATGGTTGGTCAAAGCGGAGTTGAAACGGACGCACACGAAAGATAGTCGGATGGGCGACTTGTAGTAAAAACGGCAACAATATAGGGCGCTAGGTCGAGGTCATTGGCGGTCCGCGATGGTAAAGTCAACTGGTTAATTAGGTGATACGCGGCGTGCATTGTCCTGTGTGTGCGACCGTTCCCCTACCTATAGTCGGGGGTGCTGTGTGAAATATGATAGTTACATCCCTTTATCCTCGATATGACGGAGTTGGAGAATATTTTAGATTTCCATACATACCGACTAACAAATAGATAGCGTTTAGATTGGTGATCAGAAACCTCCGTCACACAGCTTCATCCGAAGAAATTAAAAAATAATATTACTGGCCCTTGGTCATACTTCAAGAAAAATAACTCATGTTATCCAACATACTTCTAAGCTTTCGCTACCAATTTTCTTTGTCGATTTGGAGCCTGCCCCCAATAATAAGGTTATCTTTAAAACTGAGTTTTTGCATTACACAAATATTAAATCGTAGAGCCATATTTAAACCATCCAACAATTCAATGTCTCCGCTGCCAAGGTATTGGTCATACCAAATCATGTTCTAATCTACCTCCACAATGTGGAGACAATCATCTCTCAACCACCAGCCAAAGATCATCAAGTCTTGCTGCCAAATTTGCCCATTGTGAGTGGGGGACCGTCCTGCGAACTACAGAGGATGTATAATCCACAAGGAACACCGATCCAATCAACATCTCAAAAAAAACTACCAAGGTCGTAATGAGCATTACTTCAAACCAAATCACCGCCTCTTCTCTAAAACATATTTCACACGGCCAATAAAAATAATAACAGCCACACAGCGGAGAACAGCAAATTATTTAAGGAAGAAGTCCTGGTTTTAATGTGGAAATAAAGTTAGACACGGGTGCACAGTTGAATGTAATGCCTTTAGAAATTTATAAGAAAATTAAATCAATAAAATTAGAAAAAAGTTTGAAAAGTGTATTATTAAAAAATTTGGAAAATTTACAATGATAAATCACAAGGTAAAATTAAGATAGAAAATAAAAAATGTAAGGAAAGTATTAATTTTGATGTTGTTAATTATAAAGCAATGCCAATACCTACTATTGGCATTAGCCCTACTCTAAGAGATTGTACAATTTTGAAGTATAAATTAAATAAAATTAGTAAAATACAAACAATTATGTTAATTATTTGTAAATTTATAAGGTCACAATGGTTGAATTGTAAGTTGAAAACGGAGATTTTGTATTATTCCTTATTATATATAATATTTTTATGTGTTATCCAATTAGTTATTATCTTTTATCAGAAAATGTAAAGTCCAGTCTTGTGATTTCACTTGTGTAATTCTTTTAATTAAATTATTAAACTAAATAAAAATAATAAGGAGTAGCTCAGCTTTTTTACTTTTAAAAGTTCATTCATTTAGAAAAAAAAAATTAGGAATAATTATAAATATCAAAATTGTAACAAATGTAATTTTAACGTGTTTTGGAAATGAGTAGATAATTTTTCAAAAAAATTAAGGCAGAGCTATAGTGGGAGAAATTCAAACTTTTAGCTGGTCAAAAACGGTATAGTAATGTAACCAATAAAGTCATGATAATTAGTTTACACTTATCTAACGATGATAAATATATCACAATATATTATAACAATTACTGAGTAGATGGAAACAGGTAACGTTCATTTAGATTACTAAATTGCTTCAAGTACGTGTTTGTACCTAATATTGCTTGCTTATTAAAAAGATGCTCAAATTTGTCCCTTTTTAAATTAAAAATACAATTTTTATTTTTTCTTAAAAATAAAAACAAAATGTAAGAAATCTGTGTTTATTTAAAAAACAAAAGTGATTTTGGAGTCATACAAAACGTTCAGAAGTATTATTGCATTTTGAAAAAATTTTAAGAAATGTTTAACATTATTAAAAACATATTAACATATTATTATTATATCAATCGGATAAAAGGTTTTCATTGGCATGACAGGTCCCATATTAAAATGCATTGAAGAAATGTGTAGAAAGATGGTAATGGCCTTGTTATCGCCGTTTTATTACCTAAACTAAAAAATAAAAATAATTTTAAATATCATTTTATTGGAAACTATAATATAACAAAAATATACTTTAGCCGTTGATAAAAACAAATATTATTAGCATTTAACATTTAGTATTGATTATTATATGATTTTAGCTATAATTTATTATCACAATATCAAAACAAATTTTTAACAAACAATATTAAAAACTTTTCTTAATACCGTTTTGATTATAAATATTTATAACAAGATCTTTATTTGTAAGTCTTTAACCTAAAATAATAATAGTTTCCTTGTTAGGAATGGCTATTTAAGATCGCTTTCTTCACGTAGTAATCTATAGGTTTTAGATCGATAAGACAAAAAAGAAATTAAAAAATAATAATAATAATGTGTCGAAATGGCTATGTAACGTTTTCCGTTTAATTTACACTGTTTTTAATAAAAGTTTGAAGTATTTCATTTTGTACATAATTAAATGATACAGCGCAGGAGAAATAAAAACATAAAACACTTGTGTACACAAACCTAATAAAAAAATTAAAATGACTTAGTCGATAAATTGTAGAAGAATACCAACATTTAGTCTTATAAATTCTGTAGTGGCACTCAGTATGATATTACGGTCGAGTTGAGCAGTATATTATAACCATTAAGTATTTTACCTGTATGATATTAAATATGATGAATATCAAGATTGTTATTTTACTTAGTCTAGTAGCGTATGCATCGTAAGTACATTTTAAAACATTATTTAAAAAAAAAAAATGTAATCACACCTAGAGTTTTTTTTTGTGTAAACTATACATTGTAAAATGAACGTTTACTTTGCAGGTGTGACGGTAATGGATCATCGGACGATGGTAATTGAATGAAATTTGTTTAATGGTTAAAACAATATTAACATTAATTAATTTTTTCGAAAACACATTTAAAATAAATTAAGTTTAAATATGTTACAAAATAATCAACAAATTTGTTACCTAAAACAGACCTGGGTTTTGATTGAAATAACATTTTATTTGATTATAAATATAAATAAAATTATATTTTGTTAAATTATTAGACATAAATGCAATTTTACTTCAAGATGAATTTTTTTTTTTTGGAATTTGACGCTAAATAGGTGGTGAAGTCAGTGCAAAAAGTATGTACGCGAATTTAAAAAAAAAAATGTATTATTTATCTGGTATTTAAACCTAATTTGGCGAAAACTTGATCCGACTTTTTTTGCTGGTTTCGTGGGTGAAGAAGCCGACTTTTTCGATTTTGGACCTATCAAATGACCATTCGCATACTATTTAGGATCTATAGAGCTGCTACTCGTGTAAATCGTCCAGAGGTCATGTTAAAACACACATCATTTTAAACCCACTACCCTCTCAGCTCTGCATCGAAGCTAAATAGTAACTGTTATGTATACATTATTTATTTTGTGTCCGTTTGGCCAATTCAAAATTACCTAATAAAGAGTGAAAATAAGTAGGTTAAACAGCCGGTAATGCAAGTTTTAATTTAGTTTAAACTATTTATTTGGCGTCAGAATCGGCGAATATACAATCACTTTTTAATGAGTAAAAAACTCTAAATAGTTGTTTTATTATTAACAATAATTACTAGTTATTGCTTCTATTTGTTGATGATCAGAACCAAATAAACAGAACCTAAGATACCACAAGCTAAAGAATTCTGAGTCCAATGCTAAGGTAATTTATACTGTTAATTTAAAACTAATAGGTTTTTGTCAATATTTTTCTGAATTATTTATAATATAAAGTTTAAAATGTGTTGAAATAGCCATTGTCATATGGGAAACTATTATTATTATTATTTTAGCTTAAATACAAGCAAATAAAATTCTTGTCATAAATATTAATAATCAAAACAAGTTTTTAATATTGTACGGTAAAAAACTGTTTATATAATATTATAATAGACTAAAGTTAGAATCGTTACTTAATGATTTAAGGTAAATTCATTGAATATAATAAATGTTTTACTTAAATATTTTTTTAGCCCCAAAAAGGTTTAGTTCGTTCATTTTGGTAAGTAATTTTTTAAACATTATTTCTGGTTCAAAATGTATATAAAAAATGTAATCAATCCTAGAGATTTTTTGTGTACAATATATATATTGAAATTTGAACGTTTACCTTTCAGTTGTTGCATCCCCCAAACAAACTCAAACGAAGGTAATTAAATATAATTTAGTTGATGGTTAGAAAAAAACAATTAATTGATTCCGTCAAAAAAATATTTAAAATAAATTTTATTTAATTATGTTACAAATTACAAAATAATCAACAAATTTGTTACCTAAAACAGATCTGGGTTTTGGTTAAAATACCATTTTATTTGATTAAGCAGATAACTAAAAATCTATTTTGTTAAAATATTAGACATAAATGCATTTTTACTTTGAGATGAATATTTTATATTTTGGAATTCGTGTATTTTCTGTGCTCAAAAAAATGTCAGTGTGTCGTTGACAACGCAAAAAGTATTTACAAAATAATTAAAATAGAAAAACTGGCATTTGAACTAAATTTCCGGATATGGGCATGCCATACTTTATTCTAAAAAAGACAACGGGTTCACATTACATGAAAGTCTTTTTCTGTGTATAACTATGATAAGTTTAATATTTTTTGTTATATGAAAAATCAAAGTATTTAGCACAGTAGAAATAAAACTATATTAACACATCGAATCTTAACAAAGTATATCTGTTTCGAAAATACTGTTCACTTATTAATGAGTAAAACCCTTTAAAAAGTGGGGTAGACTTATAATAATAATAATTAGTAATAATTGTTTTTATTTGTTCATTACCAAAAAAAAAAAACAAATGAAGCACCTGTTTCAACTCCAACTGAAAAAAATACTGAAGCTGAGGTAACTTATACTGAGTTATATTCATATTTACAAAGTTCGTTCGATGATTGTTATGAGTGGATCAAACGTGCCAATGCCGAAGAAGCTGAAGGCATTAAAAAGGAGTATTTTCTTAAATATATGGGGGAACCAAAGGATTTGGAACCTATTTTTAAAAATTTCTTCAAAGCTCATCCAGAAAACGACATTGAGTATTACGGTAAACATTAACTATAATATACGTTATATATTATTACATCATACTTTTTTATCTTTAAAGCGAAACTGTAAATTAGTTGGTTTAAAGGAAGTATTCTCGTTCGCATTTAAATAAATTAAAATATCTAAGTTTCTTTTGTAGTTTTTTTTTTTAATACAAATTATTAAGCTTTTGATGTTATCAAACAGTGTATGAGTTTCAAAAGTGTTTAACAATTAACGTCCGAAAGGAGTAAAAAACTCAAATGGAGGAAAAAAATGTTCACTCAGTAGTCTGGCCACGAATTTAAACAAATAAAAATACATCATTGTAAAGAAATATACATCCTCAGATGAAATAAACTGTTTCTTCAACTGTGTTAACCACTGCACCACATGTCCATATAATAACATAACATATACATATATAAAATGAAAATTTTTATTATTTTGTTTAAGCGTTTTTAAATCTGACACGATTTGGACAACTTTTTGAATACATTTGCAAGATAAAAAACGTACCCGTTGAAAATATGGTTGAAGATAGGATAACGTCGGCAAAAACAAGGCAATTACTACCTATCAACACACAGATTGAAGATTCTGATTTAGCTCCAGCAGCACAGAAAACTGAAGAACAACTGAAAAAGGAGTCGGACGACGTAGCTAATTTATACTAATGTTTTAAAGCTATTATGTTTTTGTCAATATTTTGCTGAATTATTTATAATTTAAAGGGTAGAGTTTTCCTAAATAGCCATTCTTATCTAGGAAACTATTATTTTTTTAGCTTATCGAAAACGACAATAATAGGATACCATCGGCGATAACAAGACAATTACCAATTATCGACATACAGATTGACGAATCTTATTCTGATTTAGCTCAAGCAGAACAGAATACTGAAGAACAACGGCAAATTGAGGCTGGATCTCAGGTAATTTATACTAGTATTTTATAATTATTTAGTTTTTGTCAATATTTTTCTGAATTATTAATAATGTTAAGATTAAAGTTTACCTAAATAGCCATTAATAACTAGGAAACTATTATTATTTTAGCCTACGAACTCAGATCCTCTAGAAACATACTCAATGGTCCAGAATATTATACGTACTCGTTTACCTTCGAAAATTGACGATGAAGCTCTGGTGATTCATACTATTATTTTAAAAACCATTAGGTTTTTGTTAATATTTTGCTGAATTATTTATAATATAAAAGTTTAAGTTTTCCTAAATAGCCATTCTTATCTAGGAAACTGTAATTTGTTTAGCGTAAAGACTTAGACCATGTGGATCAAATAGTTAGTCATTATCGTTCAGCATCAACTGGACAGAAAAGTGACGACGAAATGGAAATTGACGATGAACCTCAGGTAATTTATACCATTATTTTGAAACTATTAGGTTTTTGTCAATATTTTGCTGAATTATTTATAATATTAGGTCTTAAGTTTACCTAAACAGCCATTCTCATCTAGGAATTACTATTTTATGTTAAATACTTACAAATAAAGTTCTTGACATAAATATTTATTATCAAAACAATATTAAGAAAAGTTTTTAATATTATTTGTTAAAAATGTGTTTTCATATTGTTATAATAAATTTAAGTTAAAATTGCTTGTTAATTAGCACGTAGGTTATCCGTATATTTAAATTTGTATTTTATAATTGGAGTTTTATGTAATTTATCTATGTGTTAAATAAACAAATTTCAGAGTCTAGAAGATTTTAAAATACAAGAGTCATTCAATGATTGTGCTCAGTGGATCGATCGTGCCAATGTCAAAGTATCTAAAAACATTAAATTGGAATATTTTCTCATATATATGGGTAAAATGAAGGAAACTAAGAAGATTTGTGTAGATTTTTTCAGAGCTTACCCAGAAAAAAAATTTAGTGATTATGGTAAATATGAACTATAACGATTATACATATGTTATATATTAATTCATAATATTTTCTTATGTCTAAAGCGAATTTGTTGAGTAGTTGGTTTTAAAGAAATATTCTCATTCGCAGTTAAATTAATTAAAATACCTACCTAAGTATCATTTGTACTTTTTTTAACAACAGAAATTATTAAGCTTCTGATGTTATCAAACATGTATATACGTTTTAAGAGTGTTTAACAATTTACGTCCGGAAGAATTTAAACAAATAATAAAAACACATAATTGTAAAAGATATATACAGGGTGATCCAACTAACGTAAGACACTCATTTTCTCAAAAAATATGAATATTTTGAGAATTTTTTTTTCCTAAACTTTTGGCTACATATTTTACTAAGTTTTTCTAATAATATGAATTATAAGCGCTACCGGTTTTGGAAAACCGAAGAAATATGATATATATTAGAGGAAATGTAGTATCTTTATAAAGTCATAGCTGATGAACAGATAAATGGAAATAAAAAATTCAAACAACAACATATTTTTTTATTTTTTGTCTACAAATTTATGTAATTAAAAACAAATGTTGCCAATTAAAAAAACTAAAAATCCCCCTTGTTGGCTTATAAGGTTTGGTGATAAAATTTTCAAATATTTTCAGAGAAAATGAGTGTCTTACGTTATGTTAACTTGTATGTATTCAGTTAAAATAAATTGTTTCATCGACCACTGAGGTGACCACTGCACTACACCATGCCCCAATAATAACATATATTTGATATATTTAAGTTCAAAATTTGTATTTTTTTTGTTTTAGAGTCTTTAAATCGAAAACGATATAGGGACCTCTTTGAATACTTTTGCGAACAAAAAAAAGTATCCATAGAAAATATGGTTGAAGATAGGAAAACGTCGGGGATAATAAGGGAATTACCATCTATCTACGCACAATATGACCCGAAATGACAAAGAAGACTTTTATCTAATTAATATAATAATAATATGTTAACATTTTTTGTAGTAATGTTAAAAATCTCTTAAAATATGTTTAAAATACTATACTTCTAAACGACTTGTATGATTCCATACATTAAATTTTCTTTTCAAATAAACACCGATTTTTCATGTTTTGTGTAATATTTTTCTATTTTTTTTATAAGAAATACGACAAAATGACGATAATTTTATTTTTAATTTAAAAAGGAACAACTTTGAGCAAATTTTCAATAGGCAAGCGTTATTAAGTACAACACGTACTTGAAGCAATTTAGTTATCTAAATGAACGTTACCTGCTTCCTATCTACTCAGTAATTGTTATAATATATTGTGATATATTTATCATCGTCAGATAAGTGTCTAGAACTAGTAATCATGGTATTATTGGTTCATTATTATACCGATTTTTTTTTTTTTTTAATCAGTTAAAAGTTGGATTCCTCACACTGTTCTGACCCAATATTTATGGAAAGTAATCTACTCGTTTCCAAATCACGATATGATTACAACTGTTACAATTTTTTTTTTTATTCCTAAATTATTTTCTGAAATGCTTTTTTTTTATTGTTTTTTTTTTTTTTTTTTTATTATTTATTAAAGAGTATTTACAATCTATGCTGCAAGGCATAATAAGCAAATAGTTACATTGTTATATATACAGAGAGAGGGAAAAAAAATAAACAAATAGAAACGGTGATTTGATATGAGGAGGGAGGCTATCCAGTAATAGAACCCAACGTGATTTTATTCTGAAATGCTAGTGCATTTTATAGGGAAACTTCTTAGATATCTTTAAAAATAAAAATAAATAATTACAAACATTTTAATAACAAAAAAAAAATGGGTTAATTACCACGTCAAAACGTAACAACTCGTAATAATGATAGTCTTTTTATAATATTACAATATTATAAACAAACATCCTTTTAAAAAGACATTAAATAAAACCCAATTTTCACCAAAACTTACCACTATTGAACATTAGCGGACTATAGTTAAGATCTAGTCAGTGATCTATTGAATATACTAAGAGATAAACTCTTTAAGTTCAAAACAATTAAGATAATTATATATTCAATGGTGAAATGACCAAACCTACTCCGTGAGTCCACCACCAGACTCGCACGGGTCAAAAACAGGGTGATATCGTTTCATTAGCTAGAAGAGAGCCATAAAAGAAATATTTATTTAAATAAAGAGGTATGTTAATTAATTAGAGACAAATAGATAGAAGTGAGACCAGATATGTTCGATATGAAAGAATACTATGTAGAAAATGAATCATCTGCCAAAATCTAAGAAAGATAAACAGCTCGTGTGTGAGTTCACTCCATCGTTAGTCCTGAAACAAGAGAATCATTATTGATTGCAGTCAATAAAATACTTTTTTTTTAAACTTAAAGTTGCCTACATTCACAAAAGACAAGACTAAATTATTAAAGAAAGACGCGATTTGTGCTTCGACACAAATAAAAAAAATTAATTGATTTCTTTGGATCAGTCCTAATACCCAAAATAAACAAAGATAAAATATTACATTAAGTTAATAAAGCTGACTATGTGTAGACTGAACCCATATCAAGTCATATACGAGTCGCCAAACGAGATATCTAATAAAATAATAATTAACGCATCCTAACAATTGTTTAAAGACGAAAGGACTTAGCTTGTCGTACAGACTGACCTATCAAAGATAAGTGAGGGTAAAAAAAAAATCCTGTAATGGAAACACGAACGAAGTCTCCTTTTCCTAAAATTTCCCTTTCCTTAAATTCAGCTTAGTGAATCTAACAAGGGCTTGCTCTGTGGCTGACCTAGGACTTTTTCGTTGAGAATTTCATTTATTCTCTTTGTGAATATAAAATACTAAATATTATTGAAAAATAATATAATTATTGATTTAATTAAAAATATAAAAGGGGAGTAAAGGGAGTGCTATAGAATCTTTAAGCCCCCCTAGACTTTGCGTCAGGTAAGTGGCTTTAGATTTTGTCAGAGGGAGTATGTATTTCATAGAAAATAGAGAGAGAGAGTCGGAGCAACCACTTCTTTGATAACTATTGCTATCTAAGTAAAATATAATATTACACGTTTTGGCTTTGATAAAAAATATGTAAATATTTGTTTGCCAACTCGCTCGCGCTTGTATAATGTGAACATGGACAATTATGATCTAGAAGGACCGGACACATATGAATGTGGCGAGAGCCAATCCGATGAACACCTACTACAATGCGCCTTTACTCCACCAGAATGCACAATTGACGACTTGGCGCTTGCCAACGAAAATACTATAACAGTAGCCACCTATTGGCTCGGGCAAAACATTTAAAATCCTTAATTATTTTTTAAACACTGTTTAAATTTTACTTATTTTTTTCATATATTTTAACTATAATTAATATCGATAAAGTCCAGCCCCGGCCACGACAAGAAGAATAAGACTTCTATAATAAAGTCCCTCGATTTGGCCGCAAAATGTCCGCTTAAAACTTTACACATAAAAAAACATACAGACGATACCATTTGAATTTTTTTTTTTAATAATATTATTTTACGAAAATAAAGTTTCGGCGGAGCATACATAATAGATACTAATCGAAATCCGTTTATGTTAATAGCTGATGTATCATTTTTAATTTTTATTACAGAATTTAGAAACAAGAATTTAGTGGCCTTGTCCGCCCCTGAGTAGAGATATTTTTAAGTTTATACTATAGTAGCACTGTGCTGACCGGATGATCTTATCAAGTTGGTTATTGTTCCAAATGTGTTGTTGTCATGCCGATTATATCTTATCAATATCGCAAAGAAATAACATTACTGACTTTTTTTCTATGGTTTAACCGCATAAAGTAAAATATTCTTGATATTAATTATATATTTATTGGATAGTATTGTTTCAATTCCTATAAGTAAATTGCAATAATAATAACATGCATTCGTGTGATTACGATATATAAGAAAAAACTTTGTATGGGGCAAGTTGCTACATTAAAAGGTGTGAAAATTGAGTTTAATTTAATGTATTTTTAAAAGGATGTTTGTTTATAACACTGTAATATTATAAAAAGGCTGTCACTATTATAATACTTTACTTAAAAATAATACTTAATATTTCTTTATTTTTCAAATACCAAATGTACAAAAAAAAAATACATATTTGTGTTATAAAAATGTTCACCCGGTATGTTAAAAATTAAAAAAATCGTAATGATTTATATTAACCATGATTATTAGTTGACACTTATCTGATGATGATAAATATATCACAAAACATTATAACAATTACTAAGTACTGAGTAGATAGGAGCAGGTAACGTTAATTTAGAAAACTGAATTCCTTCAAGTACGTTGAGTAGTTGTACTTAATCATGCTTACCTATTAAAAAGTTGCTCAGAGTTGTTCCTTTTTAAATTAAAAATAAAAGTATAGTCATTTTGTCGTCTTTCTTATAAATGAACAAAAATATTGCATAAAATGTGAGAAATCGGTGTTTATTTGAAAAGATAAAGTGATTATGGAGTCATACAAGTGTTGTATTTTAAAACATTTTTATTTTTAAAAATGGTTAAACATTTAAAAAAAAAAAGTTAAACCTATTATTATATTAATTAGATAAAATGTCTTCTTTGTCTTAATAAGAGACTGGTGTCTTATTATTTATTCTGTTTTTTTTGTGTTTGGCTTTTTCTTGCTTGCCTTTCATTTCGCTTTTGTTCTGCGCATACTTGTATGGGTATTTTTTGTTTTTCGCAAAGGTACATAAAAACTTCCCCAAATTGTATTGTATTTAACTCAGCTAAACCAAAAAAACCGAACATTTTAAATAAATTATACATTACGTTATCTTAGGGGCATGGTGTGATGCAGTGGTCACTTCAGTTATAGATAAAACAATTTTATTTGAAATTGTATTATTTTACAAAGGTGTTTTTATATTTTTTTTAATTCGTGGCCGGACTGCTGGGCAGAATTAATTTTTTTAAACTTTTTTTGAGTGTTTTATTTGACCATTTTATATTATGATACATAGTATTATGTAATATTATACATTATATGCTACTATTGTTTGGTCACTTTTTACATCTTCCGGACGTAAATTGTTCAACATTCTTAAAACACATACACTGTTTGATGGTATCGAAAGCTTAATAATTTGTGTTGTTAAAAAAACTACAAAATATTGAGTATAGGTTTTTTTTAATTTATATAAATGCGAATGAGAATATTTCCTTAAAACAACTACTTAACACATTCGCTTCAGACATAAGAACATAATATTATAAAATGATACATAAAGTATATTATAGTTAATATTTACCATAATCTTTAACTTTAATTTTTGGGTGGTCAACGAAGAAATGATCAATGAATTTTGACATTTCACCCATATATTCAGCAACTAAAGACCTTGGAATACTAAATCTAATTGGGGCATTTAGGTCGGTCTTGGCATAATGTAAACAATCAATGTACGCATCAAATACAGCCTGAAAATGTTTTAATTTATTATAAATAAAAGTATAAATTTTTTATTATAAATATAGATTTTATCTTTGTATTATTATATGTTTTTTGGGGGGAAATTAAAATTTAAAATTTTTTGCTAAAAATTAGATGTTTATTACTCGATTGTAAACCTAAAAAACAGTAGATATTTTTTTTAATTAATTTAGTATCTATTTTAATTGTAGTAGCATGTAGACATTATTTTGAATATTATTTTATTGTTTGCTATAATATTACACAAATATATTTTAGTTGTTGAAAACATATTATTATCACAAGCTTTAATATGTAAGCAACAAAATTAGTAAATTATATAAAAATGTATCTAGACATTATTTCATTTATTTTCTGTATAATACAGGTATACTTTAGTTCAATTTCAAACACTTAAACAAAGCTTTTACAAATTTATTCCTAATTTATTTTTTAAAAAATTAACATTTTATTTAGAATTCATTATTTATTACGTTCGGATTCACAGATACCAATAAATTATTATTAAATCAAAGATTGCTAAAACTTAATATTTAATCATTTACAAAGTATTAAAATTAATACATTCTTTGGCTAAAATAAGTATTAAGAAAAACTTATGTTATATTGAATAAATTAAACTCAAATGTTTAAGTTATGATACTAACTTTATTCTACTATAACAATATCAAAACAATTTTTTGACAAATAATATTAAAAAATGGTTTTGATTATAAATATTTATAACAAGAATTTTATTTGCAAGTCTTTAAGCTAAAATATTAATAGTTTCCTAGATGAGAATGGCTATTTAAATAATTTTTAAACTTTATGTTATAAATAATTCAGCAAAATATTGACAAAAACCTAATAGATTGAAAATAATAGTACAAATTACCTGAGCGTCAGCCTTAATTTTCAGTTTGTCTACAATATCCTGTTCAGTTTCAACTTTATAACTTTCTTTTAAAATTTCTAAGACTTTAAGCTAAAATAATAATAGTTTTCTAGATAAGAATGGCTATTTAGGAAAACGTAACCTTTATATTATAAACAATTCAGCAAAATATTGACAAAAATCTAGTAGTTTTAAAATAATAGTATAAATTAGCTACCTTATAATCCGGTTGATATTCAGCTGGAGTTAAAGACGAAGCTTCAGCTGAAAAACAACCTTCAATTTTTCGTATTTTAGCTATGGGTTCTTCTGGTTATTAACAAATAAAAACAATAATTACTAATTATTATTATGAGTCAAACGACCTTTTTCGGGTTTTTTACTCGTTATTAGGTGATTGCATATTTGACAACCAGACGCCAAACAAATAATGTATACATAACAGTTAAATTTTAGCTTTGATTCGGAACTGAGAAGGTACTGAATTTATATTGATGTGTTTTTTTTTGTTTGTCTGTTAACATAATTACCATGGTACCTCTGGACCGATTTACATGAGTAGCAGGTCTATAGATTCAATGCGAATGGTGGATCATAAGTCGAATAAGTCAACTTCTTCGCCCCCAAAACCGAAAAAACAGCAAAACAATTTGCAGTTTTTTCAACTTTCAACTTTAACTCATTAGAACATGCAACGTACGGTCGGGATAAGTAAAAATTGCCAGATACATGTTTAATTTTTTTTTTTTTTTTAATTTGTGTACGTGCCTTTTGCGCCGACAACGACACACTGACTTCACTACCTTTTTTAGCGCAGAATGTACACAAATTCCCAAAAAAAATTATCTGGAAATAAAACTGCATTTGTGTCTAATATTTTAATAAAATACATTATTATTTGCCTGTCTAATCAAATAACATATTATTAAAAAAAAGCCCAGGTATGTTTCAGGTAATAATATTTTGTAAAATATTTTAATTACATTTCTTTTAAATGTTTTTTCGAAGAAATTAATTAATCAATTTTTCCTAACTATCAACTAAATTATATTTAATTACCTTCGTCCGATGTTGATAAATAACCACCGGTACACCTAAAAAGTAAACGTTCATTTTTCAATGTATTTTTTACACACAAAAACTCTAGGTTTGATTACAATCTTTATAAAAATGTTAAACCAGAAATAATGTTTAAAAAAATACTTACGAAGCATAAGTTGCTAGACTAAGTAAAAGAATAACCTTGATGTTCATCATATTTAATATCAAATGTTTATTATAAAATATTCAACTGTTATAATATACTGCTTAACTCGACTAAATTATCATACTGTGTGATGCTACAGTTTTATAGGACAAAACGTATTTATTATTCTACAATTTATTAACAAAGTCAGTCCAAGTTTGTTTTAGGATGTGTATGCACAGATGTGTTTTTATTTCTACTGTGCTACATCATATTTTGATTTTTTTGCAAAAAAAAAAGTATACCTAACTTTTCAATTTAGTTACATAGTCGTTTGTAATCTGAATATCATCAACTGTTAATATTTAAAACATTTGGGATTAAACTTAAATCATAACTATGTTATTTTACAGCATGATAAAAAAAAAAGGCGCATTGAAAATAAACTAATAACGCCTGGCCAAGCTACAATAATTGAATCGCTTTTTGCAAGCAAGGCCCAAGTCGACACGGTACCGCTGACTTGTCAACGGCCGTGTCGTTTTAATCACGTCACCCTACGCTTCCCCATGCGATAACCGATGGACGAACATCGCCCCAACTGTGCGACCAGTGTAAAAGTCCGTCTTGCCCGGTCTGTTCGGTTTTCGCCTCGCCCCCTTGTGCCATTTCACAACAATATATGCTTAAAACTGAAATCCCTAATACTGAAAAAATGTCCATCTCTTCTAGGGGAAAGGGTTTGATAAATAATATTCCGTACAAATTTGCAAGTAATACGACTGCTTTCTGAAAAAAGTTATAGAGCAACGTAATTTGAGGTTAAAAAATATGTACATTAATTAAAAGAGTGTAATGAACTCTGTAATTCCCAAAACATTTGTATCTCATGGGTTTAGTCAGGTTAAACGTTTGTTTGATGTTTTTTCAATTTTTCGTATATTTTTTGTACAATAAAAGTACCGTTTTAGTTTTGTACCTACGTATTTAAATAAATTAGTATTTATTATTTATGCCGTACACGTGTGCTCGTTTTGGGCGTTATTGAAATAAAAAATGTTTAAAAAAAAAAGTGTAAAAGGATCGTACAAATTGGAGCAATTACGCTTGATCGTGCCAATTAAGAAAGAGCTTTTTTTTATTTCTAGACTATGAAGATTAAACAAAAGTTTGGAATCGAAGGTCACTTTACAATCCTTGACTTGGGTGGAGCAAAATGAATTTTGGTCAGACAATTTATATAGATAAGTTTGTAATTATGTTTGTTTCCCTTATTTTTCTTACTCATTTTTTAAAATGCAGTTGACGTGTTCATTGATCATATTTATAACAAATATCAGTCTTAAATTTATCTTTATTCTTCACTGTGCACATTTATTCCGTCACATTTAATATCAGATTAAATATGATATTAAATAATTATGCTTGATATATATTTTTATAAATAGATATTCGCCAGGATTTATGTAACATCATATGTAACACCTTAGTTACTACTAACTAATATTCTAATAGCTAAATCAAATCTTAGCCTTTTAGCCCTCATAGGAAAAATATTAAAGGTCATATATATATAAAAAAAATTTAATAGAAAACCGTCCAATAAATACGCCAGAAAATGACTTATACGAGAAAGATAACTTTAAAATTTGTATAACTAGAAAAACTTATATATTTTTTCTCCTTATAGTATTATTCGGCTTATTTAAAAAGCAAATAGATCAATTATTATCAAAAATTGCCTATCATTTGCCTCTTAATAAATATATAGCCCATTATAAGCGTTTTGAATTATTTTTCATAGTTGATAATAATTATTCGAGTTCGAATATCGAAAAAAAATTTCAGCTGGTAAAATTTTTTCAAAACGATAAGGGTATTATGTTTTAAATTATTTTTGTGTTTTTCGGCGCAATTTCACTATACAAACGAACAGGCATATATCTTTGTACTAGTATAAGAAAAGCTGTTTTTTTTTTAAGGTATTCCGTTTGGTTGTTATCTCTTTCTATGTTTGAACAATTTTGTTTGCACGGTAGTACTGTATATTTACATAAGCCATGGCGAATACCTATTTAGTACATTCGTATTTTACCATCGTTGAAGTGTTTATTTAGAATGATTTTATTTGTTATTTCATCCCTGAGAACATGTAAATGTAACTATATAAAGTTAGCGTTTAACGCATAATTATAATTATACAACTAACTAGCGTTTTTAGCTTTTAGTTAAAATCCCTTTGTCGTACAGAAGCCAACAATATTTAGATATTATTTTCTTACACATTATATTATTATGCAGGATTTTTCACCATGACTGTTCAATGTTGCCTTGCAAACAAAATATGAAAAACATCTGTTGGTTACACACGACCTTCTTAGTTATGACGTTATAAGAACAGTCGTATTTTACAATAACAAATATTTTACTAGTTTTACCTAAGTTATATTATTTAATATGATGAGAGCAGAACAGGGGTTAAGAATGTTGGAAGATAGAGTAGGACAATAAGAAAAAGAATGGGGAAAATCACGTTTAGTAAGTGCTCCGTGTAAAGTGCAGTACGGCAAGGAATTAAGATAAATCGAGAATGACTGACAAATCTTAGACGGGCTAAAAAAGTAATAATATACTGTGGTATAAAGCCGTGTAACCAAGGCAAAGGGTACTGGTCTGATATTAGGACTGTTAAGACGAGGGCATATTGGAATGGTCGGAATGACCATTTGCCTCACTTGTAAACTATTTATTTTCTGGTAGAGCTGAACAATGTTCTAACTAGGGATGAGAAGTCCATGTAGATTAGGGAAAGATACATTTGAACTAGCAATGGAATTAACCCGTTTTAACTGATCTGAAAAAATTAGAACAGCTGTCTAGAGTAAAAATTCTAGAAAGATTTGATTGCAAAACCAACATAATACTTCTGAAAGACCTTAAGAATATTTAAGAATTTTTCAAGTTTTTGTAAAAAAAAAAAATAGATCCTGTAAGTGTTAAAGTAGTTTAAGAAAACAATTAAATATCAAAATAGATCCTTCTCTTTTTGTTAGTATAAATTATATTTACAAATTTTAGCTTCATATCGACGTTCGCTGACAAATTACCTATAGAATATGCCTTGAAAAATGCTCACTTCTAGCGAATATGTTATGATTGCAAGTTCAAAAATAAAATTCCAGAGGAAACATATTAATATTGTCTAAGATGTTATTCACTACATACTAGACGACAAAAGATTTGTTTTATAACAAAAAATGAGGTTTTTTTTTTGTATGTTATATCACACGATTTGTATGATCCGTTTTTTAATCGACACATTTATTATACTTTACAAAGTATAAGAGATGGGATGTTTTCTAGAAGTCTTAAAATGTATTTTTTTGTATAATTATAAAACTAAATTCGTAATACCGACAATTGTCCAATTTTTTTAATTGCTCAAGTAAAAAACAAATGGCTTCAAAATACGTATAATATTAATTAAAACCGTTTTAACAATTATTGAGACTTTAAATAATATAACTAGGTCGAATTTAAGAGACGTTCTTTTTGTTTTATGATACATTTCTTATTTAGTGCATTGGTGTTAGAACAAGCATGGAAAACATCACATCAAAATATGTTTTCTATAAGTTTCCGGGTAATTAAAAAATAAACAAGTATTCAGAAAAGCAATAACAATGATAAAACCATATAATATTTCAAATGGTTTTAAATGATTATAATATTAAAACAGTAAAATTATTCATGACCGGATGTAGACATTTTTAGGTGCCCTAAGACGACCAACTGTAGCATTATGGATAAACACAGTAAGGTAGAGCCCCCGGGTTCTGTGGTAACGGGGAGAGGGGGGGGGGTAAAACTAGTTTGTTTTTTTTTTTTTTATGGGTGCATATCGCCACAGAGTAGATCGTCTGTCTTTCCTAATAGTTCGTTCAATTGACAAATTAATGAAATTATATTTTGGTTACCAGTTGACTGTTGATTCACACACACACATAGTAACATGGAAATTTACTACGGTCAAAGTGTAAAATATTGTTTCCTTAATGAAAATATATTTGTTAGACAATTCGGTATGAAGTTATATATTTATAATATTATAAATATAATGTTATCGTGTACACAAATAGGATACTCTTTAAAAATGATAATACAATGTCTTAATGCTCGCACTTGCTTGTACTAGTAAAAGTACAATTAATTAATACTAAGTAGTTATTTATACATGTCACTTATTGTGTTGTGATAAATTGCACTTAATAATTTAAAGTAGACAATAACAGCTTCACATACAGTTTATTGGCTGATAATGGCTGTATTTCTGAACATGCGAGGAAACTTTTAAACCCGTGTAACGTCAGGAATCATGAGAAAGCATGTGAAAGGATATCAAGTATAGGAGTTCAGAATTATAAATTTCATTATTTAGTAATTTATTCCAAAAATAAAGGTCATCAATAAACAGTAAAAATATTATTAATATAGTAGTTTTTTTAAAAGTTTTCATTTTTCATACACTGATAAGTTTATTAAAAATGTATAGCTTAATAGTTATTAATTTGTAAAATTTAACCTTGACAAATTGTTCAAAAAGACGAAATTATAGTATTTATTTGAATTTGTTCGATTTGTAAGAATACGACATTCGCTCAAAAACAAATAAATCTACTGAAAGTAAGTCTTGGCATTAAAATAAAAAAATCTTAAGCAAAAATCGAATTTTTCATAAAAATGTTCGGTTTTTGTACATTAAGAAAAATAGTACTAAATATGCCCAAAACGGGTGAATTCATAAAGATCTTATGGCAAAAAAAACTATTAGCTTGTGTAATTAATATACAAAAGTAGTGTAGATTTGGTGTAGAATAAAAAATAACTATGATAGTACATGATTTATTGAGTACATGAGTTTATTTGAAAGTGATTTATGACATTCGGTTATAATAATATTCTGGAAGATTTGTGATCTTCCCCACCCTAATATGCTCCGACCTCACTAATCACCTAGCTCTTTAAAATATATATTACATATATATTATAAATTTAATTTTGATAATCAAGCGATGATATTAATTATATTAAATTAAGCATGTTTGTTTTGAAAATAGTGGAATTTATTTATCTTTTTTTCCTAAA